AAGGTTGAGAAACCCTGAGCACCTCCAATTTCATTAAACAACATCACCTTTGGCCATTTAATCACTGTCTTCACTAATGATTTCCTCCTCCTCACCAGCTATGCTGTTTGGCTGATAGCTGCATCCCTTGAAATGGGTCCCAGTGGATGTCCGGTAATGGACAAGATCCTTGAGCACCATATCCGAGCAGATGCTTAGGAAGCGTCACATCAGAGCAGTGAGGCTTCTCAGTGAAGCTTATTTTTAGTCCTCACCATTGGCACAGTGCTTTGATCTAGTAAAAAAGCAAAAACCAAACTCAGTGTGAGCGATGACAGAATACATGAAAGGAGCGGTGACCAGAACCCTGAGGATGGCCCTGATCTGCGATTGCGAGACAGAAAACTGACCTTAGGTCCCTAAAACTGTGTCGCCTCTGTTTTTGCCGTGTGTGTAGATAAAATGGCTAAAGTGGCTTTAATATTGTTTTAGAAGTCCTGGTTGCTCTCTGCAGGCTCTAGATGCAGAACTTTTGTTTCTTTCTCAGCTCTTACTGCTTCCCTGCATAGGGCTCTGGTCCTGGAGTCGCCTTCTCAGTTAGAAATGTAAAGGAGCAAAAGAGGAATGTGGAAAGAAAGTTCTTGCAGCAATACAACTGTCACCAGAGCTTTCCAAGTGGAGCTAACCCACTCCGTTCCTCACCTGCCCTCCTCCCAGCCCATGGGGAACACTGTCGTCTCTGAGGCATGTCACCTGACCCCTTTGACTGCCAGAAGGAGCTTCTCAAAGACGTAGCTACTTTCCCTACAAACTGTCCTTGACAAATACAGAGCTAACATGTTTCTCCACATGTGACAGTGCCTTTCTAGAAACACCCGAGGAGCCTAGCAAATGCTAGAGTCGCTGATCAGTGGATATCCCTAGATGGCGTTGACATAAGGTGACATTTTGAATGAAATCGTAACAACCACAACCTGAGCCAGAAAGGCAGAACCAGACGGAGAGCAGCCAAGGACCAGGAGCCAAGCTAGTTGTGGGCACGAGGGATATCCTGTCATTGCCCAGCGCTAACTCCCTGTCTGATCTTCCTATTGACCACTGCAAAGACTAACCTACTGCAGGTCCATGACCCCCTGTCCAGAATCCTTGGAGCACACAACGCTTAATCTCAGAATGTTTTGGGTTTCAGAAAGGTGGTGTAGAGTTTATGTTTCTCACAGCACCTTCCTGGTGAGGTATGAGTCCCACGCTGCATTCTAATAATATTTCTGCATCAGCCTGTACTCTGATGCTCACACTAAGAAAGATAAGTAAGTCTCGTGGGTCAGAGTTGCCACCCACAATGGTCTAAAAATCCCACCATTGGGGGTGGCCTGGATTTAGGAACTGTGGGGGAGTGGACCTGTAGCCTGCCACTAACCTGTTTTTTTAACACCCTGAGGCATGTACTTGAAATCTCTATCAACTAGAGAACACTCACTTTTTTGACATCAGAGTCAGACATTTCCAGATGGACCGCCAGAGCAATGGGTGGGCTTCTCGCTGATTCATCCAGCTTCACCCCACGTCCCAGGAAAGGACGCTCCCT